CAGCGTTTCATATAAGTTCTTCCTTTTGGGACTTAAACTGCTGATACATTTTCTAAATAGCGTATACGCTTCTTTTCTAGCAACATTTATGTGAATCCATGACCTGACTTTATGTCGTAAACCTGTCCTATATCTTAATGGCGCTGCCCTACAGTACAGATATGCCATTTGTATTCAGCATTTCAAAAAACTACACTCGACCGTTTCCGAGCAGATCCATGATTTTGACCTCCTATCGTGCACTTACGGTAACCCTGCAGTAAAGTTTTACCGAGTTAAGCTGATACTCGTCATCGGCATCCCAATAGGCGAAGTTTTAGCGAGAGCTGAAGTTTTGAAAGAATTATTGCATACAGCTTTACTGGGCATGATTTGTGACGTCATCGAGCCACACTGTTTGACATTCTTGCTGCTTGAATTCGACTTTGTCAAGTTGAGTTATTTGAAGTGCTGATCACGCTGATACTATTCCATTTGTACGGCAGGGCCACAATATAGAATTACGGTGTGTACTGTAGAAACAAAGTTACGGATCCATCTAGAAAGTGGTATACTCAAATAATTTGACAGATCACAAATTACATATCTATTTCGCACGGCAATCTCTGCTGTAATCTTAAACTTGTTAGGTGACATATATTGGTTTAACTTTTCCTTCGCCCAAACAAACAATAAATTAGCCTGTTTACTAGCATCCCTGAGTCATCAACGCTATTAAAGTTTTCTTCACGCAATTGCAGAAGCAGCGATTAAATAAGGTTGACGCTTTCGTGCTATGACAATTGACTTTGACAAGGTATCTGCTGAGCTCAGTAGCTGCTGACCAAATCATATTTAGGCGAGGCCACATTTGACGAATACGTTGGATGTAAATCTTGAACCGCCACATTCTTAAAGCTTTTTGGCTCCTCTTTTTTTAACGATAAGAGTAAGCTGAGAAAAATTATAATAGGTTGTTTGTCAAGTATAAACCAAATTCTGTACTGTTTGGCGTGCTCAAAAATATTCACTTCCGCATTTCGGGGCTTCAGCTCCACATTGTACAATAGCACACAAAAGTCCAACTACTGCACCTTTACCTACAACTTATTTGTACCAATCACTGGCCTTAGATATTAGACTAAAGGGCATTTTGTTTGATATCAAAATAATTGTCTCTTTACACTTTATGGCTAAAAAAGAATCGTACTTTTTGTGGAGAACATAATCCCATCATGCTATAACATTACTAAAATACAAGCATATATAATCAATTAACGATATAGCAAATCGTTTCACATATTTCCTACAGAAAAAACAAAAACATAAATAGAAAATGGATACGACTTGCCTTTCGACCATAGTTATTTACTTACACATTGTTGCGTGACCAATAATAAAAGAAATGTCTGGCTTACACTTACACCCATGCTTTTTCAAAAGTTACTACCTATCTCAGATTGACGCCTGATGTCTGAAAAGTTCAAGATTACAGCAGAGAATACGTGCAAAATGAATTGTCATTCGTAATCTGCACCACTTTCTAGGTTGATCGGTGACTTTACCTTTCCTACAGTACACATCGTAATGCAAACGGTAAAGTATCAGCTTGATCACCAATTAAATAACCCAAATTGACAAAGTTTTGGCGAACGAGACTTTGAAGTCCTTACGGCAAGAATGCAGATAGTATCGATCGACGACGTCACAAATTGTGTCCAGTACAGCTGTATGCAATATCTCTTGACCCAAATTTCATAACTTCAGCTCTCGTTGAAACTTCGCCTGTTAGGGTTACTTATCATGCCGATGACGAGTATCAGCTTCACTCGGTAAGGCTTTACTGCAGGGTTACCGTAAGTGCACGATAGGAGGTCAAAATCATGATTTGCCTGGAAACTGGTCTACTGTAGTTTTTTGAAATGTTGAATACAAATGGCATATCTCTACTGTACGGCAGCGCCTTATTAAGATAATAGGACAGGTTTAAGCATGAAATCAGGCCATGGATT